TGCTTTCAAGGTTCTATGGCCGCAGATGTCGGCCGTTCCGAATGGTGCACTTATGAATGCTTGCAATTTCTGTTCGGGAAGATACGCTTGCGAAGAGACAGGTTAGAAGCCGGGAGGTCGAAAAACCCCCAACGTGTGGTGCAAATGACGGCCTCACATCTTCGAAAAAAGCACAGCAACGCGTAGATGGCTTTGAGCGTCGCGCGAACGCGTCCTGCTGGGTGGGGAAGTTGGGCTGCGCAATCCAGGGTCCACGCTCAGACCCGCACTTTCTTCCAGAAAGCAACTTGCTCGCCCGCCACCTTCTTGGCCTCTAACTTACCCTTTCTCGCACCCCACACTGCACTCGACGCCATGACGGATCCGAGCGCCTCTCTGCTTTCGACCATCCGCTCGGTGCTCGAGGCATCGCCGCCTGCCGTTGCTGAGCCAGGAACGCTGCGGTGCCACACGCTCTTCTCCATCCCGCGCCAGGTCAAGTCGCTCTATCCACTCGCGCACATCCACCCGCACGACCTCGAGCACAACAAGCGCGCCGCGTCCATCGCTGCATTCGAAGAACAGATCTTCATCACCGCCAGCTGGATTCCCAAGCAGTCAGCCGCTGGACAAGCGGATCCAAAAGCCGGTGGAGATGCGGACGCCCCGTTGTTGGTGCTCGCTATGGAGCTCTACCTCTACACCATCCCCGAGTCCGGAGCAGCGGTGCTGTACGTGTCGAAACTCGACTCGAGCGGGTTCGGACCGCGGGCTATTCCGACCGCCATGCGCGATTCGCTGTCCGGCGAGGTGTTTGGTGACAAAAAGGGGTTTGGAAACACGCTCACTGCCACGCTGTCGTCGGCTGTCACACAGCACTTTACGACCTTTCGACACTGGGATACTGACAAGGGCCAGGCGGGGATCTCGCATGTTTCGGTGCATATACTGGCACGCAGCCAGAGGGCGTACTTGTTTCCGTCCAGCCCGGAGAATAAGGACAAGAAGGTGTTGTCCGATGGTGCGCTCATCAAGTGGTGGCGCGCCGTGGTGAGCGATGTAATCGTACACACGCGCGATCCGGGCGCTCCGGTGCGCAATGCACATGGCGTACAGGGCGATATCGATGCGCGAGCGTTCTACCTCATCCCGGGATACTCCAAGGCCGAGTCGCATCCACTCGTACCGCTCGTGCGCGATGCTGACTCCACACCCTCCAGAAGTGGCAGTGCTGGGAGAGCCGAGCATGTTCTGAGCCAAGCGGGGTGGGTGTATGGCCATCCGTACAGCGCCGCAGGTGCGTCGTGTGCGGACAAGGATCTGCCACCGTTGCCGCTGCACTGGCAGACCTCGTCGTTCGTCGTGTCCAGCTCAGGCGAGAGCAGCAAGGTGGTTCAAGAACCGGGTAGCGATGGGTACGACCCACGAAAGGTGCGCACGGTACCCACGCTCATGCCGCACTTTTCGGACGATCCCAAGACGCGCTTCCTCGACGAGATGGCGGGCGATGCACACGAGCATTCGGGCTGGAAGAAGAAGGCGTCCCACGCACCTGGTGTGACGCAGGAGGAAAAGCAAAACGGCATCGAAAAGCACCTCGACCTCACCACAAGCGAAGCATCCAACAAGCGCCCTGCAGGTGATGAAGGCGACAACTCTGCGTCGCAAAAGCGGGCCAAGACGGAAGAGAGCAGCGAGGCTGGGGGG